ACGAAAAAGCCATCGGTGCATTGCCTCGTGACCTAGATGAATCAGTGCTGAAATTTCGCTTCTCGTGTAACGGACATCGTGGGAGCGCTGAATCATACTTTACGAACTAGCACCAAGATCACCAAACAAGAAGAAATGGGTATGAATGCATTCGGACACACTTCTTATCCTAGAGTTTGGTGAAATTTAATAAAGCACAGTTTTACATTCTGGCGATGCCTGTCACGTGATAGACAAAGACTTAGCAATATTTCAACCGGGTCGGGGGATAAGGACTTTTTAGTATAAATCTAGTCATAATTCTTAAGCAAATCTCTTTCAGCTTTCAGTGAAGCCAATTTACGAATCCCTTCCAGTCACCGTTTTAGACTAACTTAAAGGTACAACAAAATTTGCTGGGTGATTTCTGTCCTTACTAGGGCTTGAATGCGATTGTTGTTATAACGTTCTATCGGGATCTTGTGGAAGAAAATTGACCATATTTAGTCTTGTTGGAATTGGAATTTAAATAAATATTCTTAGATGTGAAGACCAAGATGACGCGGCCTTTAGTTTGGTTTCAATTGGCTTAGCCTAGTTTGCGCAATAGAGGCGGAGCGACAGGGAGATTTTATGGAACGTACCTAGTCTTGCGTACTTTGAGATAGTAGTTATCATAATTTTCAGCCCCGGACCGTTGACGCTTCACCGGCAGCGTCAATGAGAGGCGCCATCCTAAGCATAGACTTACAATTTATCAACTTTTCACTTTGATAACTTGCAGCTCTGCTAAAAATGATGCCTCTCATTGACGATGCCGGTGAAGCGCCTGGGAATGCACCAAGTTAGCGGTCCAATGCTAAGAATTAACATGCAGGACAGAGGACGCAAGACTAGGCACGTTCCACAAGGTCTCCGTGTTGTTCAGACCAAGTCGCAGAAAGGAGGTCAAACTAACAACACCTTAATAACTTTTGTTGAAGTGGGCGAAAATAATAGCATCAGGATGAAAGATTAGCTATAGACGAAGATATGTTTTTACAATTACTCCAAGTCTTGTCAGTCAACTACATTTTTAGAGTAGTTACGCCATTAGCAAAGCAGGAAAATAAATCAGGGGTATGAAAGCCGCAGTCTCATTCAGCTGCATACAACTTGTCTCGCCCCGCTTTTTTACAACTTGGTTTTGGTTACAAAGAGACTTAGGAGAGCATGTCTCCTACGTCACCTATGCCATTTGCGACAATACATCGAAACTTCTGTGAATGTGCCCAGGCAACATTGCAAGGACATAGTCCGGGGAGTCTCCTAGAAACCACGAGCAAATTTCAAAAAGAGGTTTCCATTCACTTCATAATTGGTGGATAAGCAGAAAGCATTTGGGAAGCAAATCGACAACTGGCACGACTTCCCCATCAAGAAAACTGAACTTCGACATCTCTGCTTCTACAGAATGAGAATTTAAGTTGGCTTAATTGGCTTAAGGCGATTTAATGACAGACAGTTCAGTTTTTCGCATAATGAGATAAATGGGCCTCAGGATAGCATTGAACTTCATTTACTCTTGTCTCCTGAATAGTTCTCGTTCCAACTGGACTGGGTATAGCCAGCATCTCAACCCGAGACTGGGTAGTATACATCGAGTGGCATCACATTGGCATTTCGCCCCACAAGCTGCAATGTAGGCCTGACTTTCACAGCAAGTATAGCCCCTTCCAATTTGCATAGATAGTGGGATTGTTAATATGCTAAAATTGTCTTTTATATTGAACACGATGATAGTGTATATATCTTATAAGAGTTTTTCGGAACTATCGGTAAAGCTTGAAGTAGAATCGGATTCATTTGATCATGCAAAATCCAAAATTCATATGAAGTAGGTTTCAAAATTGTCAATAAATCCTTAATAAGTGTTCGAGTCACTCCAGCTCATATAACCTGACAAAGAAATGATAGTTGAAATCTGCCACAATTATGTTGACAGACTCCACGTTTCCCGTAATTGCATTTAGCCTTGCTTCCTAACTGGTATTCTGATCCAGGCTGAACTGGACTAGAGTTTCGACCTCGCCTGGGTCGCTTCAGCCCTCCCAGCAAGAATAGAAACCGGGTGATGCAACGTATAATCTCGATACGTTGTCATAACGCCACACTGCCACGAGTGCACCTGGATTGCAGGAAATACTTGAATTTGACTAAAGTCAAGGCCTGTACTATGTCACATTTAGTGTG